GGGGGGGGGGGAAGAGAGAGATGGAGGGAGACAGGGGCAGGAAGGACTTCAGTAAGTATTCCTCACAACTATCATATCATGTCCCCTGCCAGGCTTAACATCTGTTCCCCATATTCTTCATCTATTTCCTCTATCTGTCCAGGTGGTCTGTAGTATTCTCTGCTTCTGCCTCCACTGATCTTTAACCAAACACTTTCCTTATTCTTCCTCTTTCTGATTCTTGGATTTCCTTCTATGAATACATATATTTAGTATATAAGGCTGATCTACCCACCCACCTCCTTGCTGATCTTCTTTCTTTTTAACTAAGGTAGTCATAATCTAGTTAGGGTTCCATATGTCCAAGTCTCTGTGATACCTCTGATGTTAAATTTGCCTCCTTACATTTGGATCTCCAGTGTATCTTGCCCACTATCCAGACTTTGTGTATCTGTGTAAAGACATCTGGGGCCATAGGTTTTAATGCTTCTCCCTTTCTTTCTATTTTTGCTTTTAAATTTTCTTCCTTGTAAATTATCAGGTTCTTTCTACATTGAAGCTACTCAATATTTCTACAACTATTCTTTCTACATTGAAGCTACTCAATATTTCCTGCTTCCAGTTTTCTCCCTCCTTCCTTTTCAGGTATTGTCTGTGTGATCTCATGCTAGCCACCTCTCCTCCCTGGGTTTATCAAATGAGGGGAATAACTGGAGTCCCTGGCAACTTGAACATCCCATGTCCCTGTTAGGCCAGTCCTTTCTCCCTTTGCTTTCCTATCTTGTGTCTCGGTTCTCTCTGGTTACCCCTTCTCTTACTCCTTTATTAGCTGCGCTTCCTCTTACTTCAGTGTTCCCTGCGTTCTGCCTTCCTGTCGATAGTCTGAGCTGCTGCAAGAATCCAGGCATGAGTTTGTAAAAGCCTGAAGTGGGAATGGAGAGGAACACCAGATCCTCAGGATGTTACAAATGGAGAACTGGAAGGATACGGTAGAGTGAGAAGAATTGCAGATGATCCAGGGGCTGGTCACAAGCTCACTTTCTTCAGGTTTTTAAGATTTGCAAAGCACTTTCCTTACAGCCACCCTGTGAGCCAAGTGTTTCATTCACTGAGAAAGAAATTAAGAGTCTGAGAGGTTAAGTGCCTCACCCACACTTGTACAGCCAGTGATTATTAGAGCCAGGGCTTGACAACCCTGGTCCCTGGACTCCAAGTCACGTGGCTTTTTTTGTGACACCCAGCTTAGCCTGAGTGACAAAGAGAGTCAGGGAGAGAATGAAATTCATTCAATTGGAGACATATTGATATGGAAACAGAAGGAAGGAAATAAGCATTTATTAAGTGCCTACTGTGTGCCAGGCACTGTGCTAAGCACTTTAGCAAATACCATCTTGTTTGATTCTCACAACAACCCTGAGAGGTATGTACTGTTATTATTTCCATATTATAGCTGAAGAAACTGAGGCAGACAGTGGTTAAATGACTTGTCCAGGGTCATACAGCTGGTAAGTATCTGAGGCTGGATTTGAACCCAGGTCTTCCCGACTCCATGCCTAGCTCTATTCATAAGGTCACCTAGCTGCCTCTGGAAATGGAAACAACAAAAAAAGACAAAATGATTGAAAATTGAATGCTATGAAATTAAAAGGATCAAACTTTTCTCCAGAGAAGAGCTATGAGTAGGCAACTCCTTATCTTGGTTGTAGAGTTGGGAGGATTATGGGTAAAGAACACTGCATATGATATTTGTTTGGATTGTTGATTAGTTTTAATGATTTCCCCTCTCTTTTTATACAAAATGACTCTCTGGAAGAGGAGGAGAAATGCAGGTAATGTAAAAACAAAAGATATCAACAACATTTTCTTTGAAAAATGTTTATTGGGACAGGTAGGTGATGCAGTGGATAGAGCACCAGTCCTGGAGTCAGGAGGACCTGAGTTCAAATTTGACCTCAGACACTTGACACTTACTAGCTGTGTGACCCTGGGCAAGTCACTTAACCCCATTTGCCTCACCAAAAAGGAAAAAAAAAAGAAAAAAATGTTTGTTATCACAATTAATGTTTTCAGCTGTGGCAGCTCAGGAAGACTGTTACTGAGATATGCAGAGGTTGCAATCTGCATCAGAAGAGGATATATCTCCACTAAAGAAGTAAATCATGAATCCTGAAGTACTGAGAATATCATGAATGAGACAGCAGCCACTGAAATCTCTGATGTGTCCTAAGGAGAACCTTAAGGAGCAATTCAACAGAAAAATTCCTGGAGTTTTGAAGTCTTAGTACAAGTGAAATTACCAGTATTTTTCAGTGTACCTTACCATTAGGTATGTGACATATAGACTTATTTTGTATGATTATAGAAGCTAGGTCAAGTCAATGTTCTCCTTAAATTATATGTAAAATAGGGCCACTTCATAAATGCTTTTGATAATTCTTCATGTTTTGATGTCTTTATATAATTCTTTTATTTGATTATGATGATTTCCTTATAGGCACAGCTTAATATTTCAACAATCTCATATATTTATAGATTCATAGAATTTAAGAGTTTGAAAGAAATTAGTCAAACCTTATTAGGTAGAATGGTGCAATGAAAAAGGCACTAGATTGGGAGTCTGAGAACCTGGATTCAAATACCAGCTTTGCCACTTGTTACCTATGTGAGAGTGATATTGGGGTAGCAAATTTATTTAGCTTTTGGGACCTCCTTTCCCTCATTTCTAAAATGAGTGTGTTGGACTAGATCAGTGGTGTCAAATTCAAACAGAAACAAGGGCTGCTAATCCATACTGAAGGATCCAGGCATGCCACGTATTGACTTAGTTTCAAGTGTAATATTATCTATGCTTTATTGTATTTTTATTGATTTTATTAAATATTTCCTAATTACATTTTAATTGGATTTGGGGCACTGTGGAGTGCTATGGCCTGAATTTGGCCAGGATCGCAGTGTGGCCAGGATCATGGTGTTTGACACTTCTGAACTAGCTGATCTCCTTTTCAACTTTAAATCTATGATGTGTTGATCCCCTGATTTTATAGAGGGAAGCCTAAAGAGATTATTTCCTAACATTTTCTCTTAGTCCAATTCTCATATAGTCTTGTGCCTCATTTGCTAGCTATATATCCTTTCTAATTTGAAAATATTTCCACAAAAACATTTTACAACATGAAAAATATAATATTCATGAGCATGTAACATTCCACACCTATAACCTCACACTTCTCTATTTTAAGCAATTAAAAAAAATTAACAGAAATATATTTTTCTACCTTCCACTCCCCACCCCATTGAAAAAAGGGAAAAGAAAAACAAATTCCTTGTAACAAGAAGTATACATTGTTAAGCAAAACATTTTTCCTCACTGACTGAATACATGCATATATATACATATTATGTATATACATATGTATGTATGTATACACACACACATACACATATATATGTCTCATTCTGGACCCTAGATCCATTATCCCTCTTTCAGAAGGTAGATAACATATTAAATTGAACAAGCTATAAATGAACTTCCAAAGGAAAAATATCCTAGATCATATGAGTTCATAAGTGACTTCCATAAAACATTCAAAGAAGGATTAAATAGCAAGACATCTTAACAAACTTTTTTTATGACATAGATATAGTCATGATACGTAAACCAGGTAGAGTCAAAACAGAAAAAGAAAACTCTAGACTAATTTATGAATTCATTGGGTGATCTTGAGCAAGTCATTTCTTTTCTTCATATTTTTTTGTCATCTGTAAATAAAGGGCTGATTTCAATCAATCAATGAATCAATTAATCAACAAGCATTTATTTTATGTGCTAGTCACTGTGTAGGCAAAAGCAGAACAATCTTGGCCCTTAGGAAGTAATAATCTACTTGGATGATACAAAAGTTCACAGATAAATACATGATATGTACATAAAGTAAATAAGTGGTGGGTTTTAAAATTTTTTCTTTTTTCTTTCTTTCTTTTTAGGGTAAGAAAGATAATTGTTAGAATTGAAAAATTCTCTACCTCTTAGAGGAGGTGGCACTTGAGTCCTGAAGGCTTGGAAGAAGTCAGAAGCTTTGAGAGGTGGAGATGAGGAAGTAGAACACCTCCGTGGTGAGAGCCAGTTTGGACTGAGGCAGAGAGGAGAGGTGGAATGCCAGATGTAGAGACAGTAAAATAGGCCAATTTGGTTGAAGCTTAGAGTGAGAGGGAATAATATGTTATCAGCCTGGAAAGATAGCCTGGAACCAGATTGTGGAGAGCTATCAATTCCAAACCAAGGAAGGTTTAGGTTATCTTGAAAGCAATATGGTACCACTGAAGCTTCTTAAGATGGGAACCTGTGCTTTAGGAGAATCATTTTGGCAGCTGAATGGCAGATGTATGGAGAAGAGGAGAGAGTGAATGCAAAGAGATTGATTAGCAGGCTATTGCAATAATAGCCCAGGAAAGGTGATTTTTAAACTTTTAGCTCTAGCATTTTATGTTCTGTGTTTCAAGAGTCCTTTCAGCTTGGAGATTTTATGTTCCAGTAATGGAGTTAAGTACAGGGCCAGGGATACTCTGTGCAAAGGATGGAGGTGAGGTCAGGTAAATACCAGGTTTTGTAAGGAGGGAGGGATCTAAGTGTGAGGGATAAATTCAGTTCCACCACCATTTATTTAGTTCCTAATAATGGTGCCGAGGAGGGCAGAAATTGAACCCTGACATTCTTCCCAGACCCCTTAAATTAAGCCTTATTGAAAGGTGATCTCCTATTGTCAGTCCAGTATCTAGACTCTAAGAAATCAAACCTGGCTGGTAGCTTCGCTAGGTGTAGATTTTGTGTTAATGATTAAACCTTTCTCTTAAATGAGAGACTTGGAGCAATTTCCAAGCCTCTTCCTCCTTCTTTTTTTCATTGTTTAGAATTCTTTCTCCCTCCCCCCACTGCCCATTATTGCTCAGCTATAAAGGCACTGCTCACTCTCAGATGATAGTCCTGGAAAGGGTGTCAGAGGCAGTATACAGAACTGTGCAAAACGCCCCAGGAGCACAAGGACATCCTAAGATCAGGATGTCTCAGAAGATGTGGGTCGGGCTGATGCTGATGGCAGCAATGGCAGTGGCTCTGGAGGGGAAGAAGATGCCACCAGGCATAGTGATAAGGATCTCCCAGAAAGGCCTAGACCATGGTAAGGAACAGGTAACAGTCTCTCTCTCTCTCTCTCTCTCTCTCTCTCTCTCTCTCTCTCTCTCTAACCTTCTCTGCAACCCTCAAGGTCCCAGGAATAGGAGAAGGTTGGCTCTAGGCAAAAGTCTGATGTAATCCAGTCTTTTGGAAAAAAAAGCTGTGTGCTGAGAGTCAAGATACTCAGGTTCTAATCATAACTCTTGCTATGAAGATTAGAATATTTAGAGCCAGAAAATATCTGGGAGATGAGCTAGTCTAACCTTTTAATCTCCCCAGTGAAGAAACTGAGTCTCAGAATTCCTCAAAAGTTACACACACAGTAAGCAACAGAACAGGAATCTGAACTGGAGTTCTCTTTCTCAAAATTCATGTATGTACAACATAAACACAGGGTAATTTCAAGAAGCACCATAAATTGAGGCAGTCCAAGAGAGGTTAACTCTCTATTGTTCTCCTTCTACCTGTCTGACTACTCCTCAGACTTCTTTACTGGATCCCTATCCAAATCTCCTCTTTTCACTATGACTGTACCCCAAGGTCTTCTCCAGGAACTTCTTTTCTCTCTACATTCTCTTCCTTGCTAACCTCATCAGATCCCATGGGTTCAGACCAGTATCCAGACCCATTGCTATGTAGATGTTCTCTCTGTCCAGCTGCAGCATCTCTCCTGACCTTCAAAACTTCATCACCACCTGCTTCTTTGACATTTCCAGCTAAATGTCCCCTAGCTCAGATTCATCTTATCCACAACAGAACTCAATTTCTTTCACTAAAACATTCCATCTTTTTTTTCAAACTTCTCTATTTCTGTTGAGGGCATGACTACCCCATCCTCAATGCCTCTTTCTCCTTTACCCTGAAGATCCAATCAGTGGACAAAATGAGTGAATTCTACTTCAACATCTCTTGAATCCATCCCTTTCCTTATATTCACTAATTCAGCCTTTTCTCATGCAATAACTTCCTAATTAGTCCCTCTCCTATCCCATTCACTCTCTGCAGAGTTGCTTAAGTCATATTCTCAAAGTATAAGTCTGACCATGTCACACCACTAATATTAATAGCTAGAATTTATATGGCACCTTCTGTGTGCTAGGCACTGTGCTAAGTAAGCACTTTACAAATATTATCTCATTTGATCCTGACAACAACCCTTCAAAATAGGTGCTATTATTATCACCCCCTTTTTTTAGTTGAGGAAATTGAAGTTAAGTGATTTGCCTTTGGTTACATAGATTTGAACTCAGGTCCTCCTGATGCCTGTCCCAGCACATATCCACTGTATCACTTAGCTAGCAATAAATTAATCTACTAAACACACAAAGAAAAAATAAAATGAAAACTCCTTTGGTATTTAAAGCCAGATCTGTGGACCTTTCACTACTTCATTCACTCTATGGTCCAACCTGACTGGCCTTCCTGTTATTCCTCACAGAAAACCCTTACCTTGCCCTCTACCTTGTGCACAAAATGAACTCCTTCCCTCCTCACCTTTATCTCTTAGAATCCTTAATTTCCTTCAAAGCTCAGTTCAAGTTTCACCTCCTACATGAAGCTCTTTCTTAACCAATCCCCTGCCCAGCTGCTAGTGTCTCCCTCACTGTGAAAATGGTATTGCATTTATTTTGTATAGACTTTAATGTGTGCATGTTTTATAGAATATAAGCTTCTTGAGGGCAGGGACTGTCTTATTTTTGTTCTTATATCCCCAGCACCTAGTATAGTGACTGGCAGCCTCAACTTGCTATGTAATTTTGGAGGTCTTCTCTGAGCCTCAGTTTCTTTTTCTGTACAATGGAGACGCTGTACAGGATGATCTCTAAGAGCTTTCAGCTGCTCTAACACTCTGATTGAAAGTCTCTTCTAGATCTAACAGTTGGTGAATGAATGAACCTACACGCTGTCTTCGGGATGGCTATAGGGGCACAGGACTATTCTTAGGGACAAAAATTTACGTCCAGCTGCCTGAATTCCCACTCCAACTCTAGGTAGGGGGAAAAAGATCTCTCTATCAACAGTGGCTCCCTATACAAGCCTTTCCCTTTAACCACTGAGTCTGAGGCAGACTTGATCAATGGTGGCTAGTCTTTGCTGAGTGCCCTCTGCTAAGTGCTATGGGAGTGGGTCTCTGTAACTCCCCCTCAGCCCCATCGCGCAGCAACTAGCACAGAGCTCTATGTGTAGCAGTTTCTCAATAAGTATTTGTTGAATGAATTAAATATATGATTGCTTATGAGGTGTAAGACTCTGTGCTGGATATCATGGGAGATGCAAAGAAATATAAGACCTAGATTCCTGATCTCAGAGAATTTGACTTTAAAATCTAGTTCAGAAAATGAAATGGAAGTAGATGAAAAGTTAAATATTGATTTGAAGGTTAAATAACAGATTCAATAGTATAAGAAATGTCAGAAGGGGAGGAAGTATGTTGTAGAGGAGAGTCTTGAATGATGCTGGGAAAAGTGGGTTCAAGTCCAGGCTCTGCCACTAATAATAAGAATGGGGACTGGGTTTGTGATTTCATTGGTGAAGGGAACTCTCAGCTGAGAAAACTTCTACCGAGCCAGACTGGATTTTGTAACTTAGAGAGTTAGTCCTTTTTGTAACTCAGAGGGATGCTTACAACAGGTTAAGTGACTTGCCACTGTAGACCTGTCAGATTACTTTTCTGAGCTTCAGTGGAATTCCTCACCAATAAAATGAGGGACCTGGATTAGATGACTTCTAAATTCCCTTCTTCACTTTGATATTTTCGGTAAGTACAAGACTGATGAAAAGGGCAGACAGTAAATATAGCAGGAATCTAAAGGAGAGAAGTGCTCCCAGTGGGCTGGAGGAAACTGGGAGGGTTGCACCGAGCAGGAGGGACAAGCTGAGTTGGTCATCTTAGAAATTTTCTTCTTCCAGAGCAATAATATCATAGGGAAAGAAGTTACAGGGCTTCACCCAGAATGAAGTTTCACTGATGAATAGCCCTGTTTCTTTATTACCCTTCCCCTAAGAGCCATAGGCTCGTAAATTCATAGAATGTCAGAGCTAGAGAGGGCTCAGAACATAGAACCTCAGAGCTGAAAAGAGTTTTAGAAAGAGATGTTTGAGTCCAACCCTGTCATGATACGGAAGAGGAAATGATGATCTACCGAAGGGAGGTGATTTGTTCAGATTCATATGGAAAGTTAACCTCCATGATGGGAGCTGGCATCAAGAGACTGCTCAGTTACACATTAGAACTATCTAAATGCTTCCTCCCCTACTCCTGCCCCAGAAATTCGTTATTGTTAACTAAATCTTCACGTAAAGGAGATCATTTTTACTAATCAGGAAGAGAACCAACTCAGGTCTGATTCTGTTGTATCTTTTTCTAAGCTTACAAGCACTCTCTCTATAGTATTTAATCATCACAATTGGCCTCTAATGAGTAATTAGCAAGTTTTAAAAGGCCAAGTTACCTTTTATCCCCTCTGTGCTAGCCTCATAACCTGTGCTCAAGAAGTATGAAAACAAAGCAAGGGAGCATCTTCCCTCTTGCAGGGTCCCTGCAAATAGGGTTTCTGCCCTCCCTGCTGGTCCTCCAGGATCACCACCTTGTCATCAGTGTTTGCCTGTCCCTCAGATCATCCCTTATTAAATCACTAAAGTTAATCAACTAAATGAATTCATGCAAAGGTCTTAATGGGTCTTAATATGCCATCCCTCTGAGGCAGCATATTTGTATTTGAATGTAGCCTTCAGTGCCTAAATCCAAAGGATCCTATAAGTGGAGCTAGAAAGGACTTCGGGGGCAGCTAGGTGGCTGAGTGGATAGGGTGCTGGACCTCGAGTCAGGAAGACCTGAGTTCAAATCTAGCCTCAGACACTCACTAGCTGTGCTTCCCTGGGCAAATAACTTAGCCTCTATTTGCCTTAATCTACTCAAGAAGGAAATGGCAAACCACTCCAATCTCTTTGCCAAGAACTCCCCATGGACAGTATGGTGCATGGGATCATGAAGAGTTGGATATGACTGAACAACAGAAAAGACTCCAGAGGCCATCTAGTCAAATTCCCTCAATTTACAGTCGAAGAAAGCCAGTACAAGAGAGGTTAAATTAATTTGCCCCACATCAAACAAGTACTAAGTGTCAAGGGCTGGATTTAAACCCAGGTCCCATGATTGCAGAGCCCCTGTTCTTTCTACTGTACCAGTAGACATTTGGGTCATATTGTATTTGAGTCATATTGTATACAATATTTAGTCATGTTGTATATAATATTTAGAAACTTCCCCTGTCTATTTGAAAGCTGGCTGTGGGGATACATTTTTATTCACTTTTGGAATGAACAATCACATGTTCCAACCCAGTTACACACACTACGTGGGAATGTCATGACTACTAACCTCCACTGCTTTCTGTTCCTTCAGTTTCAAAGCAAGGAACAGAGTTACTACAGAAGGAGCTGCTGAAGATCTCTTTGCCAATTCAAATGGGGCTAGGGGATTATGAATTCATCAGGTGAGGCCAATTTCAATCCTTGGAATCTTAGCCTTTCTTTCATTCATGGGAACTTAGATCTATAGAATTTTTGATTCACAGAATTCTATAATCTTAGAATCATGGAATCCTAGTGTAATACCCCTACAGGACTACTCTTCAAAATTGCACTCAATCTCATGTTGTGTCGCCAGAGGGCAACTGCTACCTCAGGTTCTAGGGGTAACCCTGAGGGGTTGCGCTCCTAAAACTGTAGGGCATGAGCTCCAACCCATGTGCTTCCCATGAACACTCAGCCAGTATACTCAGTTAACTCTTAGCAAAAGCATTTGTCAAATGGCATAGCAAGAATAGCGGCTTTAAAATTCCTCCCACATAAATGTGGAATATTCTCTCCTATGGATTCAAATTCAGACTACAGTGGTAATGAGGTACACATGTAGTATACATATATATCAAAGATACTATAGGGCCTGGAAGTTCTTTTTCTCTTTATAGAGTTCTCACATTAGGTTCCCAGGATCAACTCCTTTTCATAGCTTTGACTCCCCTTTTTAAAAATTAATTTATTTTGATTTATCAACAATCACTTCCATATGTTTTTGAGTTTAAAATTTTTATCCCCCTTCCTCCCCACCACCCTCCCAAGACGGCATACAATTGACTCCCCTTTTAAAAAATTAAGTTTTATTTCATTATCACTTCTGAATTCTCTGTCTCCCATCTCTCCCTTTCCTATCCATCAAGAAGTCAAGAAAAGCAAAACCTATCCTAAATACATATAGTCAAGCAATACAGATTCCCACATTAGCCATTAAAAAAGAAAAGAAAAAATAGGAAAAGAAGCTTCAATCTGCATTCTCAGTCCATTTCTCTCTATATGGAAATGGATAGCATGTTTGATTAGCAGTCTTTTGAATTTGTGGTTGGTTATTGTGTTGATCGGAGTACCTAAGTCTTTCAAAGTTGTCTGCAATATATTGTCATTGTATAAATTGTTTTTGCTCACTTTATCTTTGTATCAATTCATTTAAGTCTTTCCAAACCTTCAGTTTTTCTGAAACCTTCCCCTTCATCATTTCTTCTAGCACAACAGTATTCTACCTTCTCATATACCATAACTTGTTCATCCATTCCCCAATTGATAGGCATCCCTTCAAATTCTTTGCCATCACTAAGAGAACTGCCTGCTTTGATTCTCAATTGCCAGGGGCAGCTTGTTGAAGCTACTTTCTTCCTCAGGTGACTGTCTCATGGTATCCATGTCTTTCTGGAGTGTATGTCTCTGAAGTCACAGTTGCCTGTGTATCTGTTCACCATGCCAACTCTGTGCCACTTTTTCAAAGCTATGACATGGCTAATGTTGGTCATGGGAAAGAATAAATTCCCTTCTCCATTTATTCAGCAGTTTCCTTCATAGGTAGCACCCAGGGCCTAATGCCTCTAACTCTGACTCTAAACTATTGAAATTCACTTGGGGTTTAACTAGGTAAAATCCTCTGAGCTAATTTGCTTATTTAGGCAGTTCTGTTCCCCTCTGGACCCAGAGAAGAGTTTACGCCTTATAAAGGAATCAGAGCACAGATGCATATTTTATAGCTAAATACCTCCTTTATACTTAATGGTTAAATTCTTATTCTTCTGTGACTATATTAGCTGAAGTTCTTACATCAGAGTCATAGAATCTTAGAATCTTAGGATCACAGAATATTAATGTAGCATCTGGGAGTGCCTTCTCCACGTGTAATCCTTTCTCCTTAAGCTACACCAAGTTCAAGGCATTCTTTGGATCTAAATCTACTCAAAAGTCATAAGCCCTTTTTTCCACAGCATATTTGCTTTTACTAGTCAGATAGTAGACACAATTAGTTCAAAGCAAAAGCATCTAATGAGATATCATAGTAAGTGGCAACAGAACAATTCCCCCTTAATCCTGGAGCATAATTACCCACAGAAACACACATTTTTAGAGGGAGTGACTATGCCTGGGGAGAGGTATGGAGAAGCCCACACACAGGAAGCACATATGGCCAGGCAACATGTGTGGAGGGGCCCACACCTAAGAGACGTGTGTGGCTTGGCATCTCATGACTCTGACGCTTCAGATTGGCTCCTGATGTCTTCTGGGGATGTCATTTTGCTGCTTTTGATAGATGTGGCATAGAGTGTCAGCCAAGTGTCCTTTCCTGCTGGTCTTACATGGTCATTGCTGAGTAATGCTCTTTTCCTATCCTGGTGGCAGCTGGACATATGATTACAGAACCTTTCTCTACTGCCACCTTCTGGCTTCAACTGGAATAATTGACTAAAGTGCTACTTTGCAGGAGAAGGGAGTCTGACTTATCTCTTTTAACTTTGTTGTTGTTCTGTCATTTCTTGGCAAAGATACTGGATTGCTTTGTCATTTCCTTCTCCAGCTCATTTTACAGATGAGGAAACTGAGGCAAACAGGGTTAAGTGACTTGCTCAGGGTCACACAGCTAGTAAGTGTCTGAGGCCAGATTTGGACTCACGAACCTAAGTCTTCTTACAGACCCTTAATTAAGCTCTACTTCTATTAGTGAGAGATAGATTCTTCACATACCAAGTCATCAGAGTAGGAAAAAAAAAACCCCTCAGCTGCTTTCTCTCCATAAGAAGAAGAGTCTGTTAGTTTCCAAATCTTGCCCTCCGGGGTCAACTTCTTTGGCAATGCAAAACACCAAGAAGAGCTTGCAGATACTCCAACCACAAAATAAGGAGAATACACCCTATTCTTCTAGTTGGAGGAGTGGGTGGGAAAACAACTTAAAACTTAAAAGAAGTGCAGGAGAAAGCTCAGCTAAGATGGTAGAGGCAGACAAATGCTGTATGTTTGAGAGCCTCTCTGTGATTTCAAGGGTAGCTTTCATAACTCTGAATGTTCCTATGAATGAAAAGACATGGATTAAGTACCCATTCTGTGTTCTGCACTGTGCTAGACACTGGAGACACACAGTCACTGCCCTCTGGGCATTTACATTCTAATAAGGAGAAACAACACATAGAGAGGAGTGTGGACCAGGAAGGGAAAATCTGGTCTGGAAAGTACAGGAATGGTGAAGAGAGCCATCAGGCAGTCCATTACCATGCCACTTATAGAAGCAGTGGTAATATTGAGATGATTACTATTCCCTCAGCAAGAGGTGGAAAAGGAGTAGGGGAGGGCATTTGGGAAAGGAGGAAGAAAGGCAAGTGATGGATAGCAAATTATTGTACAGACTGGAGATTTCACTGCTACATTGGTCTGCCTTGCAACTGTGAGAGCAAATAGTGAGAGCAAATTAGTATAATACTGTCTTAGAGGGTCAACCATCCAGAGCAAGAGTAGAATCATTATAAACTGGGTGGGGGTAGGTGGGCAGATGAAGGGTGTCAGAATGGCTTTCCACAATGTTATAGTGCGGTTGGGTTATAATGGATTAATAACTTCACAACAAAGTGACATTGTTCAGGACAATGATATTGGAGAAGTGGCATGTTATAATGGAAAGAGCACTGAATCAGGATTCAGAAGACTTGGATTTAAGACCTTGCTCCCTTGCTTCTCTGATCTGTGTTGTCACTTTCCCCAATCTGGACCTCAGCTCCCCAACTATACAATGAGAAGTTTGGTCTAGATGAGACCTATCAGATATATACCTCTTAAATCAGATTAAAATGTAATTGGGAAATACTTAACAAAATAAATAAAAATGCAGTAGAACATAGATAATGTTAAAGTGTAATTTTCAAAGTCGATATGCCCACAGGAATCTTCATGTACAGTTTAGTGGCCCTGTATCTACTAACACCACTGGGCCAGAAGACCTCTGCTTAGCCTTCTAGATCTAATTCAATCCTATACTTGTAGGATAATCAAACCATTCACTCCAGATGTTCACATGGACGATCTGTGCCTGACCTGTGGTAGAGCCTTCTGAGCTAAGTATTGGTCTGATCAGCCACAGTTGGACACACTGTACCACTATGTATGCATAGTGATGTCATTTTGGTTTTCTTCTAGAATGAAGGACAACAACCAACCAACCCATGAAACCATTAGAGACTTTGAGTTCATCTAGTCTACCCCCCCCATTTTATAGATGAGGGACCTGAAACCTAGAGAAGTAAAGGGTCTTGACTGAAGTGACACAGAAAGTGAGGTCACAACTAGAATCCAAACCCAGGTTCTCTGCCTCTTCAACCAGTGTCTTTCCACTGTTCTATGCTGCCTCCTTTTTGCTTAACGCAATGTCAAGTCAAGTCAAGTCAACAAGCATTTGTGAAGTGCCTACTATGTATCAGACATTGCTAAGTGCCAGACCTTGGGAAGATCACTTTCTTGAATCTTTCCATGGAGACCTTTTGGGCTCAAAGAGTCTCTTCTCTTTTGCTTTCTCTTGCAGAATGATGATCAGCAAGTTTATGTTGCAAAAATCCCATATTAGTGTGGTTTCTAAAGGCTTTGTTTTGTCCATGACCAATGGCTCAATCATCATTAATGGAAAATGGACCAACCAGAAGGCCAAGTAAGTCATTTCTTGGGGTCTTTGAGACTCTTGTTTGACTGCAGCCATAATTCCTTGGCCTTGTTTCTGGGTTTCAAATTCTCCTCTTTCCTTTGTCTCAATAATAAAACTTGTGTTGGTTTCAAAGTTAATTTCCCATCTCTTCTTGCATGCAACCCTCATGATAACCCTATGAGGGAAGCAATTCCACAAACATTTATGAAGGGTCTGCCAGAGTTCTGTGCTCAGCGTTAGGGATGCAAAGGGAAAGGAATGATGACAGTTCCTTCTCTCAAGAGCCTGACAGTCTATAGGGGGAAGATATGGCCTACAAGCAATTAAGTATAACACAAGGGCATAGGGGGATGGGGCAAAGGAGAGAATATGAGAAAAGGTTCTAGGGAAATTTGAGAGGATAGAGAAAAGATGGGAATGAGGAGGGGATCAGAAAAGTGATTGTCTGATGAGGTGACCTGTGATCAAAGCCTGAGAAGAATAGGAGGATTTCAATAGACCCAAAAGAAGAGAGTAAATTCCAAGCATAATTTTAACTTTGTACCCTCAGTATACTGAACATAGCAGTCATGACAATAGGCATTTATTAAGCATCAACGATGTGGCAGGCATTGCCTTAAGCACTGAGGACACAAAGAAAGTCCTCTCTGCCACCACCAGCAAAAACAAAACAAAATAAATAGTCCATGATCTCAAGGAACTCATAGTCTAAAGGGGGAGATACCATGCAAACAACTATGTACAAAGAAAGTATAGATAGGATAAATTGGAGATAACCAGCAGATGGGAGGTACTAGTATTAAGGGGTATTGGAAAGGTTTCTTGTAGAAAGTAGGATTATAGCTGGGACTTGAGTAAAGCCAGGGAAGCTAGGAGGCAGAGATGAGGAAAGAAAGAATTCCAGGCCTGGAGACAGCCAGTGAAAACGATGGGAGTCGAGTGGTGCAGTAGCTTGTGTGAAGAATTGTAAGGTTGCCATTGTTACTAGATCTCAGAGTACTGGGGACAGAGTATGATAGGGAGTATAAGGTGTAAGGAGACTAGAAAGGTAGGAGAGGGTCAGCTATGACTTGCTCAAGTTCACTCGGTAAATACCATCATTGTGGCTCTTACAGCTTTGTTAAGGACCAGCTCATCCTCACTGTTACTGGCTTAAATTTTATTGAATAGTGACTGGGGAGAGAAGCTCAGGAATTCGGTCCATTGTTTCAAAATCCCAACTGAAATGATCAGGGAATGTAGCCTCCTTCACAGAATGTGGGGACTGGGGCCACTCCAAAGTGTAGAGCAAGGTTCAGGGTCATTATGTTACATGTATGACCTTGCACAAATCACTTTGATTAGCTGAGGGATGAGTAGAGTACTGTGAAAAAAAGTCCTGGATTCAGAGTCAGAGCTGAGTCCAAAGCCTTGCCTGTTTAATGATGGCCATCTCTCAGCCTCTAGGTCTCAGGTTCCTCATGTATAAAATGAATGGGTGAACTAGAAGACCTCTTCCTATTCTAAATCTATCAACCTGTGAATCTTAGCCATAGGCACATATGAAACAAGGGAAAGAGAAATTTTGGTTGGATTATAAACTCAGAATTTTTTCCCCCTAGAAATAATCATATCCCTTTTGACCTGAAACTGGATGATGTTGTCATCAGAACTGTCTTTAATCTGGGAAAGAACAATAATAACCAGATTTCTATTTCTGTCTCGTCATGCATCATCCACATTGGCAGCGTTCATACATTCACCTCAACCAACCAAAGGTATGTTCATATGCTTCTTGCTGGCTCATTCTTATGAGATTTTTCTAGGTCCCCTGACTCCTATGTTTAAACCTTGAGATTGTCTTTGGTTCTGCTCTTCCCCTTTCCTCTTAAATCCTTCATTTACCTATGCTATTAATTCCATCCCTCCAACATCTCTCACATACAACCTCTTCCCTCTATTTCCATGGCCACCACCCTCATTCAAAAGTTGTGATTTCTTCTCGATGAGTCTTTCTGTCTTCTCCCTCTTTCCCTTGAATTCATTCTTCATATTGCTTCCAGATTAATCTTTCTTCTGGTCATGTAACCCTTCTGCTAAGAAATCTTCAGTGGCTCCCTATTGCCTTCAAACTCCTTTGCCTGACATTAAAGGGCCTCCAAAATCTGGCATCCTCCCCCATCTTTCCAGATTTGTTTCATATCATTACACTCTACCCCACCCCATACACTTTGTGCACTAACCCAAAAAGGTCTACTCTCAACCTCTCCCTCTCTCCCTAACAAATACCTACTACTCTCCCAAGCCTCTGTGCCTTTTCTTTCACTTGATGGAGGATGAAGGCCTTGAATACCCTTGTACTCTTGTACTCTTATCTATTCAAGTACAATTCACATGCCATATCCTTCATGGAGCTTTCCCTGACGCAGGCCTCTCTTTCCACTCCTTAGTCCATAATGACTTTCCCCTTCAGACCTTGTGTAGCACATCGTTGCGTAGCACATCAACATGTGTCAGGCCTGGAGTTGGGAAAATACATCTTCCTGAGTTCAAATCTGGCCTGAGATATTTAGTAGCTGTGTGACCCTGGGCAAGTTACTTAACTCTGTTTGTCTCAGTTCCTCATTTGTAAAATAAGCTGGAGAAGGAAATGCCAAATCACTCCCATGCCTTTCTTAAGAAAACCCCAAATGGGGTCACAAAGAGTTGGACATGGCTGAAATATGAGCGAACAACAATAAATTTCCTAGCGTACCATGCCTGAATGAATAAGTGGTGTAGGCATTTATTGGTTATCTGCCACAGGCCACGCTCCAGATTGTGTGGTAGGGATAGGAGATCATGGGATCATAGCTTTGGAACTGGAATAGACCTTAGAGAGTATTGAGTCCTATGTTGAGTGGAAAGGTCACTGGATTTGGAGTTAAAGAACTTTGGTTCAAATCCCAGAAGATCTTTAACCTCTCTGGGTCTGTTTCCTCATCTATAAAATGAAAAGGTTGGACCAGATGTTCTCTAAGATCCTTCCCAGTTCAGAAATTCTGATCCTGTGGTCTTTGATGTCATCAAGTTCAAACTCATCATTTTAAGCATTATGAAATTGAAACCCAAAGACTTGAAGTGATTTACCCAAGATCCTACAGGCATCATGTTGCAGAGCTGAGACTGGAATCCAGGGCCTCTCATTCCAAACCCAGGGCATTCTCATTCCTTTCCATCACACCACACTATCTCCCCAGACATAAGAAGAGACAATATAGACTTAGGCTTCATTTACTACTAGTAGGGAGACAGAACATACAGTCATGAGAAAGCAAAGATGGGGCCAACCAATGTAGCCCTGAGGAGGTAGGACACAGTGGTCTCCAGGCATAAAGGAGAGGATCAGAACCAGGTGGCAATAAGTCAGAGGTGAAATTTAAGCTGGGCTTCAAAGCAAGAAGGAAGCTTCTTTGGGACATAGCAGACAGGTGCTTCCTGACTTGGATTCAGGAAGAACTGAGTTTGAATTCTGCCTCAGACACTTACTAACTGTGTGAACCTGGGGTAATCACTCAGAGTCTGTCTGATCAGTTTCCTCATTTGTAAAAATCAGGATAATAATAATACTTACATCCTAGTGTTTTTCAGGGAATAATGATAAAAATAATAAAAATAATACCTATAATTTGTATAGTACCTATTATGTGCCAGGCACCATGCTAAATGCCTTACAAATCTTAAACCTCTATATCCATGTCAGTTGTTATTGTGATGAAGGAGGAGAAGAAGAAGAGAAAGAGGAGGAAAAAAATGAGAAAAAGGAGGTAGAGGAGGAGAGGAGGACAAAGAGGAGAAAAAGGAGGAGGAAGAAGAGGAGGAGGAGGAGGAGAAAGAGTGAGGGGTGGCTAGGGAGGAAGGAAGGAAGGAAGGAAGGAAAGAAGGAAGGAAGGAAGGAAGGGAGAAAGAAAAAGAGACCCTTCAGGAAGGCTAGGCAAGAGGAGAGTAGCAGCATGTACTATCCTTGATAAACATTTGTTGGGTGATTGGACCATGGGTGTGAACAAATTGTGCATTATTCTTACCGGATGTTGGTCTGGTTCCAACTGTGTAATATATTTCCCCAAACATTTTAAGAACATTTCTTCATTTGAGCTTCCTAGCAGCCCTACTATCTTATAGCACTGTAGGTCTAATTATCTCCATTCTGTAGATAAGGAAACAGACTCAGGAAGGTTAGGTAATTTGCTCAAGGTCACACAGCTAGTTGGGTAGCTAGGTGGTACAGGCCTGCCAATAAATCCAGGCCTGGAGTTAGGAAGACTCATTTTCCTGAGTTTTATTCTGGCCTCAGACACTTACTAGCTGTGTGACCCTGGGCAAGTCACTTCACCCTGTTTGCCTCCATTTTCTCATCTATAAAATGAGCTGGAGAAGAAAATAGTAAACCACTCCAGTATCTTTGCCAAGAGAACCCCAAATGGGGTCACAAAGAGTCAGGCATGACAGAAAATGACCCAACAACTACAACAACAAACACACAGCTAGTAAGTGCTGGGGGAAGGATTGGAACCTAGGCCTTTCTGACCTCAAGTCTAGCACTCTGTACTAGGTCACAGTTCCTCTAGAGAACTTCAGGTGAAGGTTGAATGGCCACTTGGCAGAGATACTATAGGGGAGATTTCTGCCTAAGTGGCGATAAACAAAATACCCTCCAAGGACCTGTCTAACTTTGAGATTGTGTTCTTTCTCCTAGTTTGCTGAGAGATGTGTATCAGAACAATATTCAGACAACATTACACAATAACATGTTCCAAAAGGTATGGCTTAAGGAGTTCTTTTCCATCTCTTGGATCCTTTTCTACAGCCCCCCTTTAGCTTTGCTCTCCAGCTGGCCCTTCCCTTTGCCTAACATTCCCTACTGACTGCCTTTCCAGAGGGTGTCAGAGGTTAGGAGGTCGAGCCAGAGAACTCAGAAAAGCCCAGATCACAGGAGTCAGCAGACTCTGGTTTATATAGGAATTGACCAGCTGGGCCCTCTTGCTGATTGGGTAACATATTCCATCACAGCATTTTGCTTTCACTTAGTGAAGAAAAACCAAAGGACTTGGCTTCTCCAGCAAATGAGATAAAGAAAAGACATTCCTAGTCCTACTTGCAAGGAGAGGGCATAGGGTACTGAAGAATCCCATTTCTCAGTCTTCGTTCTGGCTTTTGCTTCATCACTGACACAGTGTGTCGACTTAAAGGGCTGGTCCCAATTCTATCACTGTTATCATATGAACTTGGGCAAGTCATTTCAACTCTCTGGACCCCAGTGTCCCTACCTATAAAATGAGGTCTCCAAGGTCTCCAAGGTCCCTGTGAGTTTTGACATTTGACATTTTGACATTTTGTAATTCTTTATGATGACACTAGGTTATTCATTTCTTTTATTGATCCTCAGTGATAAAAAGGAGGTGGAATCAGATCATCTTGAAGGTCCTTTCCAGCTCTAAAGTTCTATCATCTATGACTTAATGGTTTCCTCTCTAACAATTCCTGCCAGTCCAAGAAACCTTCCTGGATTGAAAGAATGCTCCCTGGCTCCTAGTACTCAGGGCTGAAAGGACAAAATATGCTCTGCTAGATTGTCAGGGACTTCCAAGATATTTTGCTCTCCAAGTGGTTTCTGCTTGTTTCACATAAGCCTTGTCTCCCCAATTACTTTAAGCTCATCCGTGGGACTGTAGCTTCTTTAGAATTAAAATCATAGTGTGTCAAAGCTGGAAAGGGATCTTAGAACAAAGAATGCTGGAACTGAGAGGGCTTTAACATATAGCTTACCAAAGCTGGAACGCACATGAGAAGATAAAATGGCAGAGCCGGGGGAGCCTTGAGGGGCCATCTAATCCAGCATGGTGCAATGGGAAGAGCACTGGCTTGGGATCAGGGGACCTAGTTCTGGCTCTGTGGTTTAAGACCTCTGTGACCTTGGGCTGGTAACTTAATTTTCTAGAGCCTTAGTTTGTCACCCTCTAAAATGAGGTCGGTGGGACCGGCCAACTTCTGAGGTCCCTTCTAGATCTATGAACCTTCTTATTTTAAAATAAGGAAACTGAAGCCTAGAGAGAGAAAATGACATGGGAGTTACTGACTTTCTATGCCCCACAATAATTAGACCTGATGTCTGGGCACACTGTTCTTTCAAGGCTTGTGAAATAAAGGAATGAGTGAACAAAAGATCTGTTAGTGGCAGGGTTTAGGCAATTCCCAAGCCTGGTAACCAAGGGAGACATGATTGTAGGTAAATTATTCAGTGTATGTGTGGGAGAATCCCAATAAAACCCCCCAAAATCAAAGAGCAGTCGTGGGTCCTGAATGCTTGTGTTTTGGCGCCACCTAGTGGTTTTTCAGAGTCATTAATGTTGATGGCAGGAGACTATGGATGTTATCAGTAGACAAATGGTTGGCCAAGCCTTTCTATCCTACTGCTGAAGCTCATTTAGTCATCTCTAGGATCCTTTATTTCCAGGAAGCAGATCAGTGTTAAGAAATGAGGGAGGCGATGGTTCTTCTTCCCTAGATCATATTTAGATTATTATGTTCAGCTTTGGGAATCCCTTTTTACGTAAGACATTGATAAACTGAGTGGTCAGGTAGAAAGAGCCTCGGATTTGGAGACAGAAGGCCTCTGCTCCTTATGAGCTGTGTGACTTTGATCAAGTCACCCAACTTCTCTGGGTTTTTCATCAGGAAAATGAGAGGGTTAGGCTGTATGACATCTGCTTTAAATTCGATGATTTTATGTTCGCTCAGAGGAGGGCAGCCAGGGTAGGGAGGAGACTTGAGTCTTTGTCTTATGATGATCAGTTAGTCAAGTGGAGACTAAAAGATTTGGTGAGGGATATAAACAGGAGTATGCTGGTAAATGTTTAACAACTGGCTCTTTGGGGGAAAAATGTGAGTTTGTGTATATATATTATTATACATATATATACTCACATACATATTACTAAGCATAAACAAGTATATATATATAATATATACTTAAAAGTGTGTATATATACACTTAAAAGAGAGTGTGTGTATATGTATGTACATATATATACACACATGCACACATATACTTTTAAGCTTAATTTATATTCTTTCTATTTTCTCCATCACTTTCTTAAGTCTAAATGATCATTAAAACAATGACTAAAGCCCTGATTTGTAGCCAATTTTGCTGAATATTTGATAATCTTTTCAAAGGTGGTTCGAACTAGTTGCAGCACACTCCTAGAGCATAGGATACAGTTGGGGAAGAGGATGCTAGCTATCACCAAGTATCTTCAGGGAAGTAAAGTAGAAGAGATAAAAGACTTATTTTGCTTGGCTACAAAGGGTAGAACCAGGAGTGATGGGTGGAAGATGAAGACGAGCAGAGTTTTGGTCTCCCTGTATGGAAAATTTTTCCCCAAATTAGCACTGTTCTAATTGGGATGTGCTGTTGTGGGAGAAAGTAGATTCCCCATTGTTGGAGGCCTTTGAGCAGAAGCTGGGATGATTATTTGTGGGGGATGTTGCTGGGGGATTACTTCTCAGGTCCAGGTGGTTTTAAGTGCCCTTTGAACAGTGAGATTCTGTGATTGTCTGACAGTAGCAGGAACGGAGAACAGCAACTCTCCAATTTGGGTCAAAAGCCCTGGGTTGCTCCTTGCCCCATTTGAAACTCCTGTGAAGGAGGAATCCCAGGGATTATTTAACTAAAAGGATATAATATCTTAGAACTAGAAAGGAAATAAGATTAGAAGTCATCAGATTCAACCTTAATTTTACTGATGGGAAAGTCAATTATTGGAGGTCTTGGATAATAATTACTTCTTCTTTCTCAGGGAATGTAAGTTGCTTGCCATTGCCATAGGCTTACAGCTATTTGCATTAGAGGGGAGCTTGCAGGTATCTAGTATAATTCATTTTATAGATGAAGAAACTGAGGCTCAGGGAAGTAAAGTGAATTTCTCACAGTCTCACGGGTAGGTGGCTGAGCTGGTACCTAAATGTATGTCTTCTAACTCTAAATCTGGTGCTTGTTCCACTCAGTCATAGCTGCCTCCCAGAAACTTAGAAGGGTAAGGGGCCAGTTCTTGTAGGGGACCAAGTGAGGGAAGGAAGTTTGCTAACTATCTGCATTCTTGGGCTTTCCTCAGATCTGTAGTATGATAAGAACCTCGACAACCTCGTACGTGGAACCCTACCTCCACACTATGCCAGGTATGCAGTAGTATCATCATGGGACCCCAAGAGCATGAGAATGACCATGAGGGTGGGAAGAAGGTAGGATGGTGATCACATACCTAATTCATCCCCCCAATAGTTCTGCAACTGCTCATTTGGAAATAGAGTTGGAATGTGGAATTATCTAGTAAATTATGATGAATAAATTGGATTAACAACAGACAGTAAAGAAAGTCCCTTAACCTATGGCAGACACTTAACTGTATGTCCCTGGCCAAATCACTTAACTTCAGTTTCCTCATTTGTAAAATGAGAATAATAAAAGTCATAGTTCTTATCTTACAATATTGTTATGAAATTAAATAATATTTGTAAAGTTCCTTGCTAACCTTCGAATACAATATGAAAATCAATTATTATTGTTGTTGTTGTTGATGTTTTTAGTGAGGAATATTTCAATCTCTGGTCCCAGAATTTTCCTACTTGCTTCAAGTATTTGAAATGTTACTCTTAAAATATTTGAAGGGCTATCATGTGGAAAAGCTGCCACCTGGCTCCAAATAGCAGAAGTAGGAGCAGGGTTGGAGATTAAAGAATCCTAGATCTGAGTTAGAAGGGACCATACTGGCTGCCCCTTATTTTTCTGGATGAGAAAACTGAGACCCAGAAAGTTTGCATGGCTTGCCCAAGGACACACATAAGTAGTAAAGGTTGAATTTGAACCCAAATTCTCTGACTCCGAATCCAGCACTCTCTAATGAAGACAGCCATCAGTTTCACTTCAAAGAAAAGTTTACTAAAAATTAAAGCCACCCTGCCTGTTCTAACTCAGGAGATTAGTCAATTAGTCAATAAACATTTATTAAGTGCATACTATATTCCAGGCACTGTACTAAGTGCTGGGAATTCAAAAGGAGTCAAAAGATAGTCCCTGCCCTCAAGGAGATCATAATCTAATAGGAGAGACAACAAGCAAACACATATGTACAAACAGGGATAAACGGGAAATCATTAACAGAAGGAAGGCACTGGAATGAAGAGGAGTTAGGAAAGGCTTCCTGTAAAAGGTGGGATTTTAGTTGGGGCTTAAAAGAAGCTGGGGAATCAGTAGGTGGACTTGAGGAGGGAGAGAGTTCCAGGCATAGGGGACAGCTAGAGAAAATGCCCAGAGATGGAGCGGCTTGTTCATGGAACAGCAAAGAGGACAGGGTTACTAGATTGAGAAAATGCATCAAGGAATAAGGGATAACACGATTGGAAAGGTAGGAGAGGCCTAGATTATGAAGGGCTTTGAATGCCAAACAGAGCATTTTGTATTTGATCTTGGAGGCAACAGGGAGTCACTGGAGTTTACTGAATAAGAAGGTGACGTGGTCAGACCTGCACTTTTGGAAAAGCACTTTGGTCGCTGAATCATTTTGGCTGCTGAATGGAGGATGGATTGGAGTGGAGAGAGACTTGAGGCAGGCAGATGTACCATCAGCTACTACAAATTCCAGGCTTGAGGTGATGAGGACCTGCACTATGGTGGTGACAGTGTCAGAGGAGAAAAGGGGGCATATTTAAGAGATGTTGCAGAGGTAAAACCAGCAGGTATTGGCAAGAGATTGGATACTGAGGGTGAGAGATAGTGAGGGATCCTGAGTGACTCTTAGATTGCAAGCATAAGGGACTGCTAAGAAGATGGTATTGTCCTCTACTCTAATTAAGGGAAGGTAGGAGGGGTGTGGTTGGGGGGAAAGATAGTGAATTATATTTTAGACATGTTGAATTTAAGATCTAGTTGTAAGACATCTAGTTAGAGATATCTGAAAGGCAGTTGGAGATGAGAGATAGGAGGTCAGCAGAGAGATTAAGGCAGGATATGTAGATTTGAGAATCAGCAGCACAGAGATGGTATCCATGGGATCTGATGAGATCACCAAGTGAAATCGTATAGAGGGATGAGAGAAGGGATCCCAAGATAGAATACTGTGGAACACCTATGGTTAGAGGGTGTGATCTGGATGAGGATGTAGCAAAGGAGAAAGAGAATGAGTGGTCAAATGGGTAGGAGGAGAACCAGGAGACAGTAGTGTCCTGAAAACCTAGAGAGAAGAGAGTATCAAGGAGGAGAGAGTGATCCACAGTGTCAAAGGCTGCCGAGAGGTCAAGAAGGCCAAGGACTGAGAAAAGGTAAGGAGTTCTGCATCACTGGAGGACAGGTTAGGGGGATACAAAAAGTCGATATTTCTAGACTGCTCCTGGAACTAAGGATCATGATCTTCATCATCATCATCATCCATAATGATCATATTAGCCTATAATGTCCTCAAGGGAAAGAACTACTGTACATGTATTATAATTCTCATTTACAGATATGGAAAATGAGACTCAGAATGATTTACACAAGGTCACGTGGTTAGAGGCCATATTCATTTACTTATTCTTTCATACAACAAATATATATTTGTTATTTACTTACCTGTGCGTGACTTCAAACTAGGTAGGGAAAATGCTGTTCCTTTTTTTCCTCTGAGTCTTTTGCCTTTAAAGAGAGTCCAACTGTCTCTACTCCATGCCTTTGTATTGGCTATTTCCCATGCCTGGAAGGCTCTCCTTCCCTTTTTCCAGCCCAGAGAATGACTCAGCTCAAGGGCTGTGTCCTCCAAGAGGCAGCTGAATAAACGAGTGAGGTTCTGGAGATGCCTAGGATGGAAGAACAGGTCTTTTTCCTTGCTCTCTTTTGAAATGACAGAAGGTTTCTTGGATTGCCAGGGTTTCTCTTTTAAAAGTCTATGCTGGCATTGAAAAATGAGCAGTGCTTCCCCATGCCAGCAAAGGTGCCTCTCTTGACTAAGCGTGATACCAGTTCTACCTTGGGTCTACCTTGAATCTTACTATAGCTCCAGGAGGCCAGATTGGGTTCATGCCTGATGGCAAAGAGGATAGCACACTCTCTGAACCAAATCAAGGGGCATTAGCTCCTAGAATTAGGCCATGGCAAATTCCTCATTGTATTAAATTAAATTCAACAAATGTTTATTAGACGCTAGGGATACAATACATCAATTAACAGGCATTATTGAGCTCTTATTATATGTCAGACACTGTGCTCAATTTGGGGGATATAAAGGGAAAAAAAACAGTCCCTGTCCTCATGATGCTTGCCTTCTAATAGGGGAGATAACAATTAAAATGTGACCATACAAGGTAAACACAGAGAGATAGAAGGCAACTTTAGCAAGGATGATGTTTGAACTGGTTAGGAGTGGGGGAACCAGAAAAGACCTAACTGGAAGGTTGGCTTGAGCTGAACATTGAAGGATACAAAGATGAAATAGTCCTTGTCTCTGCTCACATGGAGTTTAGAGTCTATATGTCTCAACTTTGAAAAGGCACCTTGGTGTAGTGGAAAGATCCAAGGACTTAGAATCTAGAGATGTGAGTTAAAGCTTGGTGCATTACCATGTATTCGTTGTGTGGCTATGGACAAGTCATCTAGCACACCTTTTGGCTTTATTTAGGAAACAAGGATGTTAGATCATCATCTCTACAGTTCCTTCCACATAGGAGAATCTATCCTCTCATGGTGCCGAGTCCTTTAAGCCTTTCCAGAAGGCCTTAGCTTCCACTGTGGACATGGGTGTATTCATTTTTTTTTTTTTTTTGGTGAGTCAATGGTGAGACTTGCCCAGGGTCACACAGCTAGTAAGTGTTAAGTGTCTGATGTTGGATTTGAACTCAGGTCCTCCTGACTGCAGGGCTGGTGTTCTATCCACTGCACCACCTAACTGCCTTAGCGTATTCACTTTTGCACTACTCATTTTACCAGATGTATTTTAAGGTTGGTGCTTTTTTAACAGTAAAGTGCTATTATATAAATGTGTGATTCATTCCTCCCCCCCCTTCTCATAGTGAAAGTCAACTTGGATGGAATCGCTGGAATCGATTATTCCCTAATACAGCCTCCAAAATCCAAGGGCCACCACCTGGACATTCCTTTGAAGGTGAGTGTCAGTAAAAGCAGGAAAGATTTCCTGCTCAACAGACTCCAGGAGGTGAGGATCTAAGGGGCTGAGACTGGCTGCTTCTCTCAAAGCTGACTTTCTCCTGTTTTAGTAGCAGATTTTCTCTATGTGCCTTTGGACTCAGATTCATGGGTTCTATTTGCAGCTCTGGGACAGGCCATGGTGCCTTTGCCTGGGTCTCATCTGCAAAATGAGCAGAACCCCAAATATCATCTGGGAATTTAAAACTCAGTCTAAGTTGTACTTTGGGATCTTCTTCTACAAGCCATGAAAGAGATACATAGATGAAGAGGTGGGTCTTCCTTTTCCACTGACTCTAGTGATCAGGGAAGCCTGCTGCAAAAAAAGGAAATAGAAGTGAGAGATACAAGAGCTGGCATCTAATCCCAACTCTTCTGGGTTACCTTGGACAAGTCACAATCTCTAAGATGCCTCAATTTCTATTTAGAGCATAAAAATGTCTGCCCAGAGAATGGAGCCACTCCCAAAATGTAATTTCTGGGATGCTTTAACTTCATTTCTGATTGATCTTCAAAAACACTAAGCCCTAATAAGTGAATTTGAATTTTCTCTTAAACCTCTGCATTTCCTTCAGGTCAAGTAGTCAGTCAGTTACCTATAAACAAAACTTAACAGCAAGGATATGGGAGATTATTTTTTTCCTTTTAAATGAAGTATGTGGATAAGTCTCTTTGTAATATGAATAACTACCTGGAATTTGTTTCAAAAGCGCAGGATTTCTATTGTAAATGAACTTACTACGTAGTGGTAAAAAGAAGAGAGCACTTCTCCAATAGTCACAGGACCTGGATCTGAATCCTAGCTCTACCTCTAACGAGTTATGTGACCTTAATCTCTGTGAGCCTCAACTTCCCTTTTTGTAAAATGAGAAGATGGGACTAGATATTCTCTTAAAGGTCCTTTCTAACTCAAAATTCTGTGGTCTGATCACTGGATCAGTCAATAAATATCGATTAAACTTCTACTATGTGCCAGGCACTATATTATAGGCTGGGAATACAAGGAAAAAGCAAAAACAGTCCCTGCCCTCAAGGAGCTTATATTCTAAGGTGGGGAGAGAAAGTGAATGTAAACAGGCACATTCAAGATACATAGAGTAGAAGGAAGGTAACCTTAGAAGGATAGGCGCTAGTGGGGGTGGGTGGGTACTGAGGGAAGTGAGGTGTGTGGTGGGGAGACAGCTTAAGGAGAGGAAGTGGGTTTATAAAATCATCCAGGAGGAAATGACGCTGGAGCTCATCTTGATAATGTGGTGTGGTGGAAAAAGCAATCAACTTGGAGGTCCAAGAAGGTGGACACTTACTTAGGGAGGGATAAATTCTGTTAATATCTCTGAGAATCTCTCCGAAATGAGGACAGTACCTGTGGTGCCTTACTCACAGGCTTGTTCTAAGGTGTGTGTGTATGTGTATGGGTGTGTGTGTGTGTGTGTGTGTGTATACACACACATACACACACCTTCAAACACTGTGTGTCAGATATTCTTGTAATTATAATTATTGCATTGAGAATCTTGGGTACTTTTCCCCAGCCCTGCCACCAATGAGTTCTGCTACTTTGGACCAGTCACTTGGACAAGTCCACTCTCTAGACCTCATGTTCTCAAGCTATAAAGCTATATAAATACATATCATATATGTTTATATTTATATAAATTAATATAATAATATAACACCAATAAAATATTTTATTTAATCATATTTTATATAAATATACACTTATGTAGCTCACACTATATAAAATGAGATACTAATGTCTACTGTGCCTAATAATGACCATAACCAATAACTTATCTCTTTAAAAAAAAAAAGCCTGTTCAGGGGTGTGCTGGCAAGTATTTTATAACCAGCTCTCCCCAAAAATGTATCTATGAGACACTTTTAAGTTTAATCTGCATTATTAACATTTTCTCCATCATTTTCTTAAGTCTAAACAGTCAACAAAACAATAAATCAAGCCCTGATTTGTAGCCTTTGTTGATTTCTGAGGTTTTACATATACACACTGAAAAATTTAACAATCAGCTTGGGAGAGGGTTAGAGTTGGCTTCAGCATGTCCCTGAGCCCATGCTTCCTTGCCAGAGCTCCTGTGAAGATTAAACAAAATTCAGGATAAGAACAATTCTGAAAAACAGATATGATTCAGGTGTTAAGAAAGGGTAGGAAAAAGAGAGGGAAAATGTTTAGCTTGTAGGGATTAGAAAGAAACAAGAAGGCCAAGTTTACTTAATCCTTTCTTTGGCTTTCCCTTCCTTCCTTCTTCAAGATGGGCTGGGAGAGTTTTCCATAGTCTGGCCAACTGCGTTTTCTGTGGCATTGCTATGTTATCCAGCAGATTCTGGGCAGCCTGCCTTCAAATCAGCTAGTGTTTGCACAGAAAACACAATTCCTTTAGCCTCTACCAAGCAGAGTATATGAAGTCAAAGTCACCTTACTTGGTGATTCATAGAAATATGGAATGTTAGAACTGGAAGAAACCTAAGAATGAAAAAATGTGTGAGCCAGGAGAGACCATCTAGTCTTACCCCCTCAATAGAGGAAACTGAAGCCTAGAAAGAGGAATAACCAGGTTCATCTAGTTTGTAAATAAACTATAGTTATCTCTTCCACATAGTGACTTTCCCCATTGTGGTTTTGATGTATTGCAGGTTGGCATAAGAAATTAAATGAGAGTTTGGGAGGAGCTTTGTGGAAGACACAGACAATATGCAAAGGCCAGCAGCTGACACAGAAAAAGTTTAGAAACTCAGAAATACATAAATATATGTATAATATTTAGTAATATCAACATATTTTATCTTTTAATATAATAATGATTCAGACTTCTTCTCTGGCATAAAGGGAGGGCCAAAAAATTTTACTCAGATTTTTCCAGATCATGGGAGTGCCATGCTCCTAAACCCCCACCTCCTACGTGGAAGGCATAACTGTAATTAAAAATATATGTATAAATGAATTCTAGGGGCAAATAGAGAATTAGGATTTTCTTTTGTTGTGGGGTTGTTTATACCCCTCTGCCATTACCCCTACTCTCAGACCCTTAGCATGGTAGTTAACTACTTTGTTTGCATTTTTTCTAATACATTGTAAAAATGTATTATAAAATTAACATAGTATATAAATACAACTATTTATAATTAAATTAATTCAGTACATAAATTATCAGAACACCTTTTCAATCATAATCTCTAAGTCCTCACAAGGATTTTTGACAATTTCTTCTTATCTAGCTTTCCTCATGTGTTTGTAGATTACATTTCATTTTGAGAATTCCCACTTTTTCTTTTTTTTTTCTTTTTTTACTTTGTATTAATTTACAAATGCCTCTATAGTCTCTGCTAGTTTTAAAATCTATGATCCTAGAGGTCTTTCCAGATTTCTTTGTACTCCTCAGGTCAGCAATACTAGTATTGTAGTGGTCTATTACATTAATGAGTCATAATTCATTTAACCCTTTATTGTCAGACATTCAGATTGTTTAATTTTTTTTGTAATTATATATAATGTGGGCATGACATTTTTGAAAGATAACTCTTTTTAAAAAATCAGAATATAGTCTCAATAATGAAATTATTGGAATAAAGGTTAAGATCAAAAGGTTATGATTATTTTTGTATATTTTACTGTGTACTACCAGACTGTTCTTTAAAGATTTTAAAAGTTAGCAATTCTACCAGCAATGTATGAGTGTACCATTATTTTTGCTAATTTGATCGGTGTAAGATAGTGATTGAAATGTATTTCAATTCTCTTTGTTTATAAGTAGGTTGAATACTTTCACCAATGATTAGTAACCGTATGTATTTCCTTTTTTTTTGGTGGGGGTGGGGGGGGTGGGGGGAGATTGATTGTTCCTAAAAGTTGATTACTTTCTGTGGGAAGTCCTTGTCCTTGATTGTATTCTCTCTTGCATTCACTCCTAGGGCCAGTTTTTCAGCTTGACTCATCATACCCCATTCCCCTTTTCTCCTTCTGCTGTGACTTTCCGTAGCAGCCAACTACAGATGGTCTATTTCGGAGTCTCACATTCCTTCTTCGACTCAGCCATACATGTTTACAAAAATGCTGGAATCAAATCCCTCCAAACGAATAGTTCCATGGTAAGGCAGGGCAGGTGGAATTAATTACAGCATCCCAGAGCTAGAGAGAAGCCCATAGGTCATTTAGCGTAACCTGTACCTAAAAAAAGAACCTCTTTTTCTACCTTGTTGACATTTCTAGTGAAGGACAATCACTAGCCCTGAAGTCACTACTTCCATTTGATTTTTGGACAGCTCTTATTGTTAGGAAGTTTTTACTTATTTGGATCCAAAACTTATTTCTCTAGAACTTCTATCTGTTGGAGGGGGATGATTGGAATGAGTAAAGCCAAGATTCCTTGCCTTTGCCCCCAATCAAGTTAAACCAAATGAGACTTTTATAAAATACCTACTATGTGCCAGACACTTCTGGAGGTATAAAGAATAAGTGGCAGTTACACAAAAGCAAGATATATGAAGGACAAATTGGAAATAAGCAACAGAGGTATGGTGCTAGAATTGAGGATGATCAGGAATGGCTTCTATTAGAAGATGGGATTTTGACTGAGACTTGAAAGAGTCCAGGGAAGTCAAGAGGCAGAGATGAAGAGGGAGGGAGTTTTAGGTCAATGCCTAAAGACAGCCAGTGAAAATGCCCTGAGTCAGGAAAAGGAGTGTGTTGGGGTTACTTGGCATAGTGACAATGATGGAGGGTTGAGGGTGAGTAGTATGCAGGCAGACAAGCTCTGAGTGTTGTAGCCTAAAACTCTGGTGTTGTGAGCATAGTTATCTCAGGGGCAGGTGGTATATGTAGCTGGGATCATGGACTTTGTGTTGTTCTTAGTTTCCAGGAAGATGTTGCTGCTCAAAGGGGATGTGTGGCTGAGCCTTCTCTATTACCCTAAACAGAATTTTTGGTTCTCCCACACAGCTGGACTGCAAGTCTCAAGATTCCGTGCTTTTTCTCTTACTACAGGTTCCAAAGGACTCCAAATACATTTTGTCGACCGACTACTATGGAATTCTGATCCCTCAGGTAAGCTGTTCACCTCTTGTTGAAACAGTTCTTTGAACCAGCCTGGGAGGGAGGGGATTAGGTAAGCTACTAAAACTATCATGATATCAGGGTGGCAGATGCTAAACTCCTAGTGATTACAAGAGGGAAACAGGAGAGGGTAGGCATGGATTGAGTCAACTCTCTCCCCACCCACCTATTATTGAGAAACCAGTTCAAAGTACATGGTAGGCCAACAGAACCATCTTTATCTATGGAATGTGAACAACAGGGCCCACTTGAGGCACAGGTTATATTGACAGCCTCGTATCAAGTGCCATGAAGTATTGTTAAAAAGCCACAGAGACTTCAACGAGCATATCCTGATGTCAGTGGAAACAACCTAGGTTCCTTCTTGGTCCCTCCTTTACTGACTTTGGAGAAGGGAAGAAACGTGCCTACTATGTGCCAGGCACTGTGCTAAGTAAATTTTTTTTACAAATATTATCCCATTTGATCCTCACAGCCACCCTGAGAGGTAGGTGCTATTAACTGAGGCAGTCAGAGGTAAAATGACTTGCCTAGGGTTGCACAGTTAGTGAGTGCTTGAGGTCGTGTTTGAACTCAAGTCTTGCTGACTATAAGCCCAGAGCTTTATTCACTGATCCCCCAGATGCCTCTAGGCCATCTACCGTGTCTGGAAACATGCTCTGCCTGTAGAAACCCTTCCCTTTCTTCAAGGTCCCAGCTTCTTCATAACAATGTAGCTGGAAGAGACCTCTCCTGCCTTGAACCTTCTCTCCTTCTGCTCTGTATGAGTAAATGAATGAATCAGTGAGCATTTCTTAAGTGCTACCTATAAGCAAAACACTGTGCTAAGCACACAGCATGTACCTCTAGAAAGGTAAGACAGTTCCTTGCTCCCAAGGAATTCATTCTGATGGGAGAGAGAACACATATAGACAGTTTTGGCTGTAGGGCAGATGGAAAGGTCCCATGGTCCTTGGTCGGGTGTATGCTGGAGCCAACTCACACCAGTTCATGAGGGCCAATTATTAGATTTTCATTGTGAGCATTTACACTTCGGAAATGGCAAATACTACAAATCAGGGCTTGATTCATTGTTTTGTTGGTTATCTAGACAAGAAAGTGATGAAAAAAATGTTAATAATGCAAATTAAATACAAAACTGTCTTAATTACATCTTTTTCTGGAGAACTGGTTGTTAAACATTGACGAACATACCCTCATCCTTAGGAATCAGTAGCAAAGCTACTGATGTCTATCCTGTAGTTTCATTTCCATTGACAAAAACCACATCTGATGCTGAGACATTTAATAGAGCCAGGGACTTTGGGGAGAACTTTCTTTTCTGGTTAAAACTGTGGCTCCTGAGGAGGAGGCAGGGGCTGTAGCAGCCACAGAGGCACTGGACAGACTACTCCTCTACAAGGGTTGCTCCTCTGAAGGATGGTTGGGGACATGGAGGCTGAAAACAGGACTGGTGATCTGACTATGGCAAGGAGCTGGTATTTTGGGGGCTCTGGGGTACAGAGTCTTAGACTACTTGAGGTCTGAGGAGTTGGTTGATAGGTTGGTTGGTTTCCCTGAACCCCTTTTCCCACTTCCCTCTCTTCTATTTTTTAAAAATATTATAAGGGGGACAGCTAGGTGGCACAGTGGATAGAGCACTGGCCCTGAAGTCAGGAGGACCTGAGTTCAAATCTGGCCTCAGACCAAACACTTGACACTTACTAGCTGTGTGACCCTGGGCAAGTCACTTAACCCCAATTGCCCCAAAACAAAAACAAAAGAAACAAAAAAAATTATAAGGGATGATTTTTGGGAAGCAATGTAGGGACATATTGAAAAATAAAGGTGCTATAAAAACAAGTTATCAATAAAAAAGTGAAATATTTTCTGTCCTCAAGTGGGGCATTCTACTTGTGGCAACAACATATATACAGATAAGTAAATACAAAACCTATTCAGAACAAATACAAAGTAATTATGGAGGAACATTAAGAATAGGATAGTCAGGAAAGGCCTCTTGTAGGAGATAGCCCTAGAAATGAGCCTTCAAGGGTCTAGATGAAGAGAGAGGACATTCTAGACACAGAGGACAAACTGCAAAGGCCCAGAGATAGAAACCAGCACGTAGGGTAAACAAAGCCAGTTTGGCAGGATCTTGAGTGAATGAGAGGGAATCGTGGGAAATCATCCAGGAAATATAGTTCAGAGACAGATTGTAAATGGCTTGGAATTAGTTTCGAATGATTAGAATTGAACAGAGTAGGGAAAGTGTGTTGGGGAGGTGCCCAGCTACAGTCACTTAGGATCCTACCGGCAATGGAGCTTATGTAAAAGTGTAGCCCAGGGCTGGGGAACTTGCAGCCTCGAGATCACATGTGGCCCTCTAAGTCCTCAAGTGTGGCCCTTTGACCAAATCCAAACTTCACAGAACAAATCCCCTTCATAAAAGGATTTGTTCTGTAAAACTGGGGCTCAGTCAAAAGGTCACACCCAAAGACCTAGAGGGCCTCAAGGATGCAGGTTCCCCACCCCTGGGCTAGCCCATCTCTTCAAGGATTTGTGAGAACCAAAGGTGTCATCTGCAACCTCTCTTTCTTTGTGTCTGCAGCTGTCCAAGAACTTCCCTAGTATGGCAATGACAATCGTCGTCGACTTTCCCTCCTCTGTACCAACCATCTTCGTTGACTCTAGAACGAAATTGAGCCTCATGTCTTCACTTTCAACCCATGTCTTTGCGGTTTTCTCCAACTCTTCTCAGACCCCACTCTTTAGGCTGAAACTGGTCAGTTTGGGTTAGCCTGGGAAAGCTCATGGGTGGTGGCACAGCCCAACTGGGTGAGCTCTGGTTTGTCCACATGTGTAGTGCCATGAAAACAAAGAAAAACCAACAATCCAAAAGGCAGGACATAGAGTCAGGGACCTTGGTTCTAGTCCAGGGATGGGGAACCAGACCACTGGCCTGAAGGCCACAGGTTCTCCACCCCATTCTAGTCTTTGCTCTGATATTAAAGTGTATTATGGGAAATGTATTAGATCTGGAGGCAGAGTACCTGGCTTTAAATCCCACATACTATGACTTTGGGCAAATCCCCTTCCTGTCTAGGCCCTTGTTTCTTCCTCTATAAAATGAAGAGGTTGAAGGTAAGGATGTCTTGAGCTTGTTTCTACCTTTAGTCTATGCCCTTGATTTCCTTTATGAACTTAGACAATACACATTGCTTTTCTGGACCTGTTTCTTCATTTGGATTGGGAAATAAAAAAATCATAGATTTACATCAGGAATGTGGATTTAGAGCAGAAGGAACTTTAAGGATTCTCAAGTACACCTTTCCCCTCTCTCCCTCAAATTTTGCAAATGAGAAAACTGCTAAGTGGTTTAGTGACTTGCCCAGGATCGCACAATTAATAAAGCATTTGAGGCAGGATTTGAACCCAAGTTTTCCTAATTCTAAGTGTATTGCCAGATCCATTAAGCCAGAGGCTCTTTACCTGAAGCCTGTGAATTTTTTTAAATTTGAGAGCTATTTAAATATAATTGATTTCCTTTATAATCCTACATATCTTATGTATTGAAAATAGGTCCATAGGATTCACATGATTGATAAAGGGGTCCAGGACACATAAAGAAATTAAGAACTATTTTAAACCATACTGCCTTTTGTCAGAGGAGCAGAGTTCAAATCCATTCTCTGCTGCTACCTATCAGTGAGGCTCTAAGCAAGTAACATGACCTCTCTGCATCTCAGTTTACTCATCTGCAAAATGAGAGTATTTGTACTACATGACTTACAAGATCCTTTCCAATTCCAAATTCATGAGCCAATGATCAAAATAATGAGGTAAATAATAACTGGTTCACTGGATTGACATGTGAGTCAAATCAGATAATGTAATGAAAGCCCTTTTGACAGTGAAAAACACTATACCCAAGAGGAAGCTGAGACCAATGCTGATGTGACCTCCTGGTTTTTTTTTTGGGGGGCTAAGCATTGAGATGTATAAATGATAACACTCTCACACCACATTGACATTGTGCTTCATCACTTACAATGAGATTTACAGTCATTGTCTCATTGGATTCCCCCAACAGCCATGGGGAGAGAGGTAGAGAAAAAGTGATTACCTTCATCTTACAGCTGAAGAAACTTCACTCAAACTAGTGATATGACTTGCCCCCAACTATTCCATTAATGATTGGCAAGGGCAGGGTTGGAGCACAGGTCTTTGGATAATAAGTCAGTCAATGAATTAATAACCTACTATGTGGCAGGCACTGTCTAAGCACTGTGCATACAAAAAGAGGCAAAAGACAGTCCCAATCTTTAAGGAGCTCACAGTCTAATGATTCCAATGCTCTTCTGACTACTCTGTAAAGGTTGGTGCCCAAGTCAGAAGGATTGAAGAGCTGGGGGGATTAAAAGTCAGGAATGACAAACCAGAATTATTACCTGGGGTTGTTGGGGTGGGGGAGAATAACTATTTTTTTTTCTTCAGGTTAGGAGGACTCCAGTGAAGCTGTTAGTTCCTGAACTATATATATTTTTTCTTTTTAGACTAGACCTATGTTTTTATTAGTTTAGGGAACAATTGAGTTAACTTCTGTTCCATGTAGATCTGTATCTGCTCTGCATTTATAGTTTTAGAGAGATTAAATTACTTGTCCAGAGTATGTGTCAGAGGGTTGATCAACCCTGAACTCATTTCCCTTGACTCTGAGGTCAGCTCTCTCTTGAATCCTGTTTCCAAGATGACCACCAGTTTATCCTTAGTACTGACCCAGACCCAACTATGCCGCAAGAGAGGGGGCAGAATCCACTTTTCAGAATCTTTGGTAATGAGATGGAAGGAATCAATCAATCAACATTTTCAAAGCACTTATTAAGTACCTGATCTTGTGCTGCTAAGGAGAGAGAGAGGGGGAGAGAGAGAGAGAGAGAGAGAGAGAGAGAGAGAGAGAGAGAGAGAGAGAGAGAGA